GAGCCCAATGACCAAAGTCACCGACGAGGCCGCCGGCAACGTTGCATCTGCAACGACGCCAGCACTCGCTACCAACCGCGAAATTGTCGGCATTGCTGACGTCGTCGAAAACGAGAGCACCGCTGACGCTCGCGAAAGGAGCAACAGCAACAACCCCGCGGGTCGGCAGGACCACCGAGGGGACAACGCATTCGAGCTACTCGACATCATGCAAGGAATAGCCAAGAGACTGAAGAAACGCGAGGGATCACAGTCGAAGCTAGATAAGAATATGGGATAACAGAGACGGCGCAAACGGCGCCATCGTGCCCACAACTCCATCCATGAGCTTGAACTTGCCTTCTAGAGGTCTTTTTGTTGGCGGCGAGCGCACTAGTAAATGTGACGAGTTGCTGGACTCGCCGTTCCGATGCTTTTTAAACGAGGTGCATTACGTGTATCTGGTAGCCGTTTCGGAGACGTGTGGAGGGATTGCGGACTATCTAGTACTGAACAACATAGTACAGTACGCATCCGTCGACCTGCGCACTGTACTGATGGCCAAGGTCGACAGTACAAGGGGAAATTTCCTGCGGCAAGCTGAAGAGATCGCCCACGTTGCTCAAGCGTGGGAACTCGAGCCGACGAGATACGAGAGCCTCGGTAAAGAAGTCGTCGACACCGTGGGTGAGCGACGCAGCAACGAGACAAAACTATGTCACGAATGCAAACAAATCGGGCACTTGCGAGCAGATTGTCCTGAGCGTGGTCGAGGCCACGGTAAAAGACCATATTTAACGAATGCATTGCGGGACAAGCTGACTGGAGACAAGGACGAGATGATACTGGGTCGAGCAGGCACCGGGTGAGCAACGAGGCTTGGCTCGACGAGGTTGAGTCGGTAGACGACTTGTGTCTGCAGCCCAATGGTGATCCGCTAAACGTAACCAAGAAGGACTATCTGACACTGCAAGCGTCGGCGTGCGGTGCTGAGAAGATCATTATGCTGACCGATGTGTACTACGGGGCGGGTGTCGCTCACAACTTGATCTCATACGGTAAGTTTTCTGAGAAGGTTTCATGTTGACCTACCGTGATGATCAACGTGCGGTATCTGCCAAGCACGGATGTGTGGTTGCTTTTGACGTTTGGCTTCGGCACAACGTAGTTCGAGGCAAGGATGACAAGACGCAACAGGCTGTGTCGAATGTGATTATGGGGGCACTGGGCCGCGAGGTGGACGCGTCGGACGATGCGTACAGTGCAGTGCAATAGGCATATCTAGTCGAGTTCCACAAGAGACAAGGACATCTTAACTATGACGCGGTGAAGCGTCTGGCGCGGGATCTCGAGATCGGGGATCGAACTGG